TTATTCACAAATCACTTCAGCATATTCTTAAACCCTCTACTCTTGACATATCAGCGGAGTCTACAATAAATCTATGTCGCGGCTGATGCTTGAAACGGCTGATAATTGAAATCATGTGATTTACAGATGATCATCTGATGTCGGGTATGTTGATCATTACACTTATGTCAAATGAGGTGCGTCATGCATACAATCGTAGCACACTAATAAAATTCTTGTTCATATACATTAGGGTTATAGCTTATATTAAAGTTAGAGTAATATATAGTAAAATCGCTCAGGAAAAACTTTTTATTAATGCGCAGAAAGTGGTTTGAATTTTCCTAATCGTGTTATATCACACCTGATCTTGAAATGCGATTAGTTTCTAATCACGTGATGGTGGAATTTTAGAAAGATAGTTTATACAATGCTTTTATAAGCAGAAGTTCGTCTGATTAGTGTATTTGAAAAATTGGAACTTCTGTCTATGAATAATGTGCCTCAACCAATTTTAACTAAAAGGCAAGTATATACGTATGGGTCTGGTGCTGAAACATTTTTATATGAAAATCTCGGATATATGTGAAGAGTAAGATAAAAAAAGATGTTAACTAATAGAATCTTGCAACAAAATGCACAAAATTTAGATGTTTTCGAGTTTTAAAATTAGTCGTCTGGCTATTATTTTTCGTTCTCAGATTCTCGAACTTTAAAGGCTACAATAAAAAAAAGAGGTTAGTGTGTATTAGTGATTCTTTAAGTTTTTATAATCATTACTTACCCACTTACCTTCTAGAAAATTCAAGAGCACAACTTCAAGCAAAAAAAAAGTCAATAATTTCGTATAGTCTGAGTTTTAACAATATAACTTTCTTTGTATCTGTGATAGAATCTGAAATCCGAATTTCAAGTAAAAAAAAAAAAAAAAAAAAAAAAAAAAAAACAAAAAATCAGTAGTATACCTTCTTGACCTTTAATATAGACAAAAAAAGGCATATATGAGGTTTTAAAAATCTGCTGAAGGCGGCAATTCGAAGAAGCAATTTATCTTGCATTTGGTTATAACATGAAATAACAGAGACATAGTCAAAAATGAAAAAAGACATTGGAGTGGTTTTTAAAAGTTGTGAAGGTGGCAATTCAATTGACAATGAAAAGTCGTAGTTTCAAAAGTGTTGTATAATGGTAATAATAAGCTTCAAAAAAGATTGGATTAACATCATAGATGCTTTTGCTATAATTCAACTGTATAGTGTATATGGCACATAAGCATACACCTCAGTGACATAGCACAATTAAAGACGGAAAAGGTCATAAGACGACTTTCATATGATTAGTTGTTTAAAGGCATTCGAGTGGTATTGAAATCTGTTGAAAGTAGTGGTTTGGATAGACAATTAGAAAATTGGGTGGATTGTGTGACTTAAAATAGTATACTTAATTAGGTTTGATACTGTAATAGATGAGTTTGGGAGTGGTGAATTAGTTGATATGTCAAAAAAAGGCTTATAATTGATGTATATTGCAAAAAACTGATAACCTTGCGACTAATTCAAGACGTGAATAAAGGATGCTACTTTTATCGCAAATTTGAGTGATTTTTTTTTTATTATACTCAAGCATTGAACAATTTTGGTCATGTGAAAGATGTAATTGCGCTGACCCTTTTATTTTTATTTTTTTCTTTTTTATTAGATAGGCCCCTTTAATATATACTATATTTACCCTAATATAGTAATATAGATATATATAATTTCAATATATATAATAGTGCACTGCTGAAAAAAGTCTAAACTGCTAAAAGACCATAGTGCGTTAGGTTAGGTACTACATTCATAAGACTAGTAGGTTTAAGGCCAGTAATACGATTAGTAAAAATAGATTATATAAATTTCTAGATTAAATACAAAAAATAAAAAGATCTTTATTTCTATATTTATATATATAATTGATCTATTACATTCTTAAAAAAAATCAAATAAAATTTAAAAAAAAAGGATCGAAATAAATTTTTTTTTAAAAAAAAAGAGAATTGAAATGAAATTTTTTTTTTTTAAAAAAAAAAAAATGGAACAAAAAAAAAACCTCCTGTATTGAAATGAATTTTTTTTTTTTATAAAAAAAAAAAATTACGATTTTAAAACTTTAACCCGTTGAATTGGAACAGGGATCTCTTTTCCATCAACCTCGACGATTGCTGTATAATTATTCGAGGTTAGCCTTACAAATATGCCTTGTTGTGAAAATGTTGATTGTAATTTTCTTCTTCGGGTTTGTGGGTTCATATCATGGTCCGGTGCAATTAAAACTGCAGTTCCAGATTCAATTGTGTTGTTTGCTGTTTTTTTTTGATGAACGCTTCCCTGTTGACATAGTTTTGTATAATATTTTCTCAGTGCAATGTTTACAGATTAGAAAAAAAAATTTAAAAAATTAAAAAAATTTTACTAATTCTAATCATCTAACTTTAAATCTAACCTCTTGAATTTGTAATACTCGTAATATATGCTGCTCAAAACCGGCCTCCAAGTTATTTATATTAGTTTCTAAACAATCCATGTTTATTTCAGAAGTGTCTATATCTATTTCATTAGTTTCATTAATTTCTGGTGTTTTATAAACACAGTGCATTTTTCATCCAAACATAGCTTCATGAGGTGTACGCCTATGTGCTGTATAGACGGTTGAATTATAAGAGATAACAAAAACATCTATAATGCTAGTCCAATCTTTTTTTTGAAGCTTATTATTATCGTCCCACAGCATTTTTGTAAAATCACGACCTACTGTTTGGTTAAGCCGTTCTACCTGTTCTTGGGACTGTAGATGTCGGGGGCGATCATGCTTAATTCTAACATTTAAAATTTCACAAACTTGCTTTACAATTCCCTCAAACTCTTTTCCATTATCACATTGAAGGATTGCAGAAGGACCGAGAATTCTAAAAACGTCTTTAGTAAGATGTGTAGCAACCGTGCCAGCTTCTTTATTTTTCATAAGAACTGCAACAAGATACTTTGAAAATGTACAAACACACGTAAGTAACTATGCAAAACCATAATTAACGTTTGCAAAGTCATGAAAATCAATTAAATCGATCTGAACATGTTGCCACGATGCTACAGAAATAACTGATTTCATATCAGTTCTTTCTTTAATGGAAAAATTGATAGCACAAACAGAACATTTATTAACATAAACTTGTACTTCAGTTTGCATAATACCAATATGTTTTTCCGAAAGTGCAAAAAAAGTTTTGTGATAATTTCGATGATTAAATTGATTATGAAAGTTTTTTAGTAACAAAAGTCATAACTCAACATCATATTTAGGGATTACACGACATTTATCAAATACCATTTCGCTATTTTTAAAAACAGCCGAAAGGTAAAGAATCACATTTTCATCTACTTCAAATTTTTTACAACGACTTTCAAATCTATATTTGGCCAAGGGGTCATGAATCGTCTCAGGTAATTTTTTTGTTTGTAGATAATCAACAATATTTTGATATTCGATTGAGGTTCCAGAAAGTTTTGGGATTGCTGGTATAACTACTAAACTATGAATAAAAGATGTAATATACAAATATACAGTATACAGTATTTATACATATCTATATTACCGATCATCATGTAAACAAATACTAAATATGGAAATAAAGATAACGAAAATAAAAAAAAATAAAAAAATAAAAAAAAAATAAAAAAAATAAAATAAAAAAAAATAAAAATAAAATATAAAAAAATAAAAAAAATAAAAAAAATAAAATAAAATAAAAATAAAATAAAATATAAATAAAAAAAGAAGGGGTTCGGGTCCCATAGCTTAATGGATAAGCTCCCGTCCCCCCACAGACAAGGTCGACGGTTCGAGTTTGGCTGGA